AAGTGTTTGCTCAATGAATGAATAAATGTAAGTATGAGCACAAGGTAGATGCCAAATGTTCAGAGGAATTGAACTTGCAAACTTGTTCCATAAGTACCACATGCTATGTCATGCTGTAACCCATAAGGATCCAGGAGCTGACGTGCTAAGAAGGGAACAAGGCTGACAAGGTGGCTCAGCTGGCTGAGGTTCCTGCTGCCAACTCCAATAGCTTGAGTTAGGACCTGAAAAGTGGAAGGAGAAACAGACTCCAGCAGTTGTCTTCTGACCTCCAAACACATGTTCACACACATATAAGCAAATTTCGCTACACACACGAGTAAAAAAGAAAATTCTTAATAGATGATAGATGATAGACGATAGATTGATAGATGATAGGTAGATAGATAGATGATAGATAGATAGATAGATAGATAGATAGATAGATAGATAGATAGATAGATAGAGATGGTTGGATGACAGATAATTTTTTTAAAGGAAGGAAAAACAGGCTGTCTTGTTCTGTTTGGGCACAGGAGTTTTGTATGCAGGTAGCAGAAGTCAGTTGCTGTGAGCCCCATTTTTGTCTGCCCAGGCTTGTAAAGCTGCTGAGAGTTTCTTTGGTGTGCCAGCCGCACTCTTCCATTTGGCATCTCACCTTGAAAGGAGAAGCAGCAGCAGTTAGCAGGCTAGCATCAGGGAACTCCTTCTGCCGGGATCTCAGAACTGACCAATGGATCACTATACCATCGATGGGCAGGATTATGTCTTAAGATGCTAGAATCTTCTGGCCACTCCTATTTCTTTCGTCTTCCCTAATCCTGAATATGGACCACAGAAACCCACTCTATTTCCCTCAGACATGCAGTCAGTTGTGGCTGGTTCCTAATGAACCCAAGAGCCTAATTATGGCCCGTAGCTTCCTGAATAATGATGGACCTCCCTCGAACTCCTTACCTCAGCCACCATGCCGGTGTTTGCTTTTTGGCTGCTCAGAGCGGCTTTGAGCCCTCCTCTTCACTGCCCTGTACCCTGCCCATACCAGAGTCTTATTATTGACAGGTCATTGGAAGCCCATCCTGGTGGAGCCTTGGTTTTATCCTTGCACCATTTTCCTTCCCATTGTGCTAACTTCTGGTTGCTGACTTTGTCCTTGGATGGGCTGGGCTCCTCTGGCTCACAATTCTTAAGATCATCTGAGAATCTAAGAAAAGAGCCTTTCCAAGCCCCAACCCACTATTTTTTTTTTAATATACGTACCAAAGATAGAATCCAGGACCTTGCAAATGATAGGCAAGCACTATCCAGACTCTATGTAGCACAGGATATCCCAGAACTCCCAATCCTCCTGCTGTGCTTCTCAAGTGCTCTGATTACAGCTGTACAACACCATGCCTGGTCCTTTCTACTCGTTAGGGACCCCTAAATGCTCTTCAGAAAAGGCTTCTGGAGCCCTCCCCTTCCTCCAGACAGCTCCAAACTGGAAGGAAGAGAACCAGGAATCAATCCCTTTGGAGGTTACTGAGAGGCAGAGGTGGTGCCTGTGGAAGGAAGGCTGGCAGAGAGGCCCACCGCTTGTTCTCCTCCTGCTGTTGTCTAGCACTCACCCAGCTTCTCGGAATAGCAGTGTTGGCCACAAGAGTGTGCATGGAGAAAGAGGCGGCCCTTCTCTTCTGGGTCATCCTCACAATCATGCTTGGGACAGGGAAATGGTTTGTGTAACGAAGGCTGAGGCTTCTACCTGAATATCTACTCCAAGCGTGATGGGCACACCCTCCTTCCCCAGAGAAGAAAGGCCTGAATCTATCCTGGAAAGACATCCAGGCAATGAATGGTGGGGCAGCGGGCAGAGCAGACTTTTGGCTCTGTCTTTTCTCCTTTGCTGCTGCCTTAGATGCCCCCACAGTGGCTGCTTTGTTCCTGTGCCTCAAGAAGAGGCTCTTTTCAGAAGACAGGGGCCCTGGAGAAAATGGGCCCTAAGGAGAAAGCAAGGTATAGCAGAAGGCCTGGGGGACAGGGCAGAGTGTCCTTGTCATGGTGAGATTTCCCAGACTGAATATGGAGTGTAGTCTCTTCCACCTGAAGTCAAAATGAGTGGAGAACGAGGGGACTTGGAGAAGTCTCTGGAGCAACCTCTGTTTTCATGGCATGGTGGATGGAGGAATCCAAAGAAATGTCCAAGAAGGAGCAGGGAAAGAGGCATGAAGCAAGTGTCCACCTAGTCAGGGAGCGGTGGGGGGATCAGAGGAAGGGGCTGTAGAGCCACAGGGCACTCTGACATTCAGTTATTCAATGATGTATTGAGAACAGATTGAGCTGGTTATGTGAAATCAACTCGACTGGGATGGGGAAGGACGGCCCGGCCTTGCTTCATCAGCTACACAACCTCACAGGGCCGAATGGCTCTCTGCTTCTTCAAATCTCAGCTGGTCCAGATGCCAGGAGCAGAATAAGGGCAGGCACTGTGATTTTGCCAGTTCCCAGGGAGACCTGCCAGGCTGGGGGAGGCAGGCCCTGTGTGGGCATCAGCTTGGGCCTGTGCTGTGCTGGTAACTGCAACGGGGGACTCTCAGGGAATAAAAGGGCAAGTCCCGTCTCCTGTTTCTCTAGTGCCAGGCTGTTACCACCAGCTGTCCTCAGCTCGCAATCACCTCTGCTGGCATGCCACGTGAGCTGAGGCGGAGCCGTGTTCCAAGGCAGGCAGTGGCAGGAGCAGACTGGAAGGTTTTTATTGGCTCTAATGGGGCTGACTATCCAGGCTCTGGTTTCCAGTTTAGGTCATATTCACAGACCTGGTTCCACTTCCACACAGAAACACTTTTGAGAAGGAGATGCAGGGAACAGCAGAGCGTAAGGAGCTCGGAGCAGTTCACATTGGCCAGGGTGAAGGTGACCCAGGGCCATAGAACCAGATTTTGGTAACTTAGAGAGCTCTCAGATCTCAACATTCATTAAACCTTCCTTCAGAGATTCTACTGAGTTCTAGTCTGCATTTACAAACCCTTAGAGGGCTGGAGAGATGGCTCAGAGGTTAAGAGCACTGGCTGTTCTTCCAACGGTCCTGAGTTCAATTCCCAGCAACCACATGATAGCTCACAACCATTTATAATGGTATCTGGTGCCCTCTTCTGATAATAAACAAACAAATGATTTTTTTTAAAGAAGCCTTTAGAATTGTACACACACACACACATACACACACAGAGCTAGGGGACTTGTCCTTGTTGGTCTGTTTGTATATGCAGATTTGAGTGGACCTCAGGTTTTGTTCCTTAGTTTTTTGTTCCTTGGTTTTTAAACAATCACGTTAGCCTGGAGTTTGACAATTAGGCTAGGCTGGCTAGCCCCCAAACCCAAGAGATCCACTAGTCTCCAACATCCCCCACCCAGAACTAAGCACATGCTACCATACCCAGCATTTTTACACAAGTTTTGGGGATTGAACTCAGATCTCAAAACAGCAAGCATCTTGTCAACCAGCCCACTCCCAGCCCACTAGTGGGATTTTAGTTAAAGGAATCGGACTAGAGCCCACCTAGCTCAAGAATCTTTGACACTGCATTGCGAAGGGTCTGAGATGCCAGCAGAGTTCTCATGGAGATGCGAGTCAGGCTCTGGGACTCACAGTTCCCACCAGCCCTGCAGCTCACCCACACAGAGACCAGGTCTGCACGGGGCCTTGCCTGCACAGTGGTTGGAGATCTTTTCTCCACACCCGTTGTCCTCGTCTTAGACGATGCTCTGTCTCTTGTGGTCTTAAGGCATTCTGTGCACCCCAGCAGAGGGGCAGATACTCTGTGCCCTGTATCCTCAGGGTTGGTTCATATCTGAGAACTGTGTCCGTCACACTGACACAGAGGACAGGAGGAGGGGAGGTCTGTTGGTGATAGTTTTTAAACTCTACTTTATTTGGAGTTCCTTATGCCTCTACCTCCCTTCCACCACTACCACCTCCAACCAACACTAGGTATGAGAGAAAGAAGGTTAGAAGGAAGAAAGAGGTTATTTAGATCTCTTTAGACTTAGTTCCAGTTGGTTAGGGTCGTAGGGTTCTTTTGGGTTAATGCCAATCTTATTAGTCAGGATACCTAAGAGTCCAGTAATAGCAAGAGCAAATGGCAGCAGGGCAGTTAAGAAGCTTTCCTCCTCCTCCGCCCATCTCTCAAAGCCCATCAGTCCTCTCTGAGCCTGCACGAGGCTGTTACCAGCTGGCAAAGACCACGCCCCTCACTAGGCAGTTATCAGCTGTGGACAAACTTTAAAAGCAACTCCATATTCCACATTTGAGATTAAAACAGAAACATATTTACATAGCGTAACTAAACTAAGTTTTTAAAGAAATCAAAACTTCCACTACAGAGGCCATTTGGCTCCTAGCATGGCCTCCATCCTGAAAATCATGTCTCTTTCCACCCCAGGCCTATAATAGAGGTCATTAGCTTGAGAAGTGGCCCTTCTAACATACCCTGATCTTTCCTGACTGCATACCAGGCTCTGCGCTCAGAGTTAACATGTGAGAAATGGTTCTTGTTATCCTTCTGAGAGTCTCTGGAGATACAGAGTCCATGAGACACACATCTAGCGCCGGTTTTCGCTGTCCTGATTTCTCTACGTGTCTGTTACAGGCTCAGAAAGCAGCAGCCTCTAGGGCTCCTAGATGAGGCTGGAATGGGCAGAGTGGACTTCCTGGAGAGGTGGCTTTTTCTTTGGGATGCTTCAGTGAGTTAGGTCTCACCTTACTTTCTTCGCTTTTTCCTCTGTGTCCCTAATTCTACACCTCTGATCCTAGAGGCCCGGGAGGTCACATGACATAAGGCATGGAGTGAAAACAGTAGTCAAAAGCCAAGGAGGTCTAGATGACCCTAGGGCAGGGTGGGAACATCCTGGCTTCCTGTGGCCTTTCCCTGGCACAGCCCTGCTCCCAGTCCTGCCAAGCTTCTGTCTGAAACTAAGCTGTCTCTCTGCCCACTCTGTCTACAGAAAGCCTCACGAGTGACCTATCTTTTTCTACCCGATCCTAGGTGCCCCCGGCCCTCCAGGACCAAGAGGACTGAAAGGAGATGCAGGCAATAAAGGACCTGTTGGTAACAGAGGACCTAAAGGGGATCCTGGCAGTCTGGGGCCCCCAGGACCTCAGGGTCCTCAGGGGCAGCCTGGAGAGCAAGGACCTGTGGGAGAGAGAGGGCCAACTGGTCTCCGAGGCTTTCCAGGCCTCAAAGGCTCAAAGGGTAGCTTTGGCACTGGAGGGCCAAGGGGGCAGCCAGGCCCCAAAGGGGATGTGGGACCCCCAGGGCCAGACGGGCCCCCAGGGTCTCCAGGACCTTCAGGGCCTCAGGGAAAGCCAGGGATTTCAGGAAAGACAGGATCACCCGGCCAGCGGGGGGCCACAGGGCCAAAGGGTGAACCAGGAATCCAGGGTCCCCCTGGACTACCTGGGCCTCCAGGTCCACCAGGGAACCAGAGCCCCTACTGAAAAAGGTCTTTGGCCTAATGCTGCCATGCAGGTTGGAGAGGTGGGTCAGAGAAAGCAGCCAGAAGGATCTACTATCTACAGCCAATCCTTGTTCTTTGATCCTGACGTGAGGTATCTCTTAGAGCTGACTGTGTAGCCTTAAGCTCCGCAATAATGACTGTACCATAGGAAAACAGCTCAACCCCTCCCCCACTTTTCTCTGCTGACCAGGGGGGCCTACTGGGTTTTAGGGCTGGTTAGGAGGAAAAGGAAGAAGATCCCACCCCAACTCCATCCTGTGGCACTGTGCTGAGGAGGTGGCTACCTGGGGAAGAATGTCTTAAATCTCTTGGATGGTAACTAGCTCTGGTCTCTGCAATGGCTTAACACCCATGGGAGCCAGGTCTTGGGAAAAAAAAATTCAAGGAAACCTTCAGGGCATTATAGATAACTCTCCAGCAAGTCTCTCCCCACAGTCATGGGAACAGAGTCACAGGGAGCTGCCATGCCCCACACAGGGTAGGAGAACTCTGTCTGGCTGGCATCCTCAGGCCCCATGCATGTGTGTGGTGCCCCTGACAAGTTCAGAGGGTTTTTATTCACACGACTAGAAAATTCTTCTCTTCGGTCTTACCTCTGCATCTCAAGAGCGGCCTGGAATGAACCCAAGAGGAGTTTCATCAGCAGGCAGAGAGCCTACAGGTCCCAGAACATTCCACTTCTCTGCTATCCATCTCCCAGGAAGGCCGCAGGGCTGGAGGTGAAAGGACAAGGCAGGGATGAATCTTCTCTCTGCAAAGCTACTGCTTGTTCAACCTCAGCTGCCAGCCCTGTTCCCAGGGGGTTCTCTGTAGTGGCCAAGGAGAAGGAAGTTGATAACAGGGAGGCTCTTGCCTCCTCCTCGTGGCTGACCTATCACAGATGCACACTGACTTCACCCCACTATGACCTAAGATGGCTCCAGTTCTTCTCCACATGGGCAGCAAGCTGGACCAGGTGTGGGGAGAGCCTGAACGTTACTTCGACGTTACTTCTCATCTTTCATGAACTTCTTGCATGAACTGGCAGAAAGTGATGCTGGGAAAGGCCTGCATTGTCTTGACTCACTTTCCGCAAAGCAGCCCTGCTCCTTCATACTCCAGAAGATGCCAACACTCCAGGGTAGAGGTTAGAGCTGCCTCTTCCCTTGCCCTGCCTTAGAGACCTGTCTTCTTCCTGCTCAAAGCCTCTGTGTCACCTTCCTCAACATCAATGTGCAACTGGCTTGCACGACCACCCTACCCCTGCTATATAATTGTCTTGTCTACATATATAATACCATGCAACACTGTATCATGACCCAGTAAAGAGCTGTTTCCAGGAGAGATGTTGTCTTGTGTTTTTGTAACTAACCTAAGAATATGATTCCTTCAGTGATCCGTTTCATACTGACCTTCAGAGGGGAATGCCTGTCTAGGATTCTGTCGCAGAATTTGCGAACAGAAGTCTTTTGGGGGTTCCTAGTGGTTGACAGTGAAACCCAAATAAAAGTCTAAGGAATTGGGGCTGGAGAGATGGCTCAGTGGTTAAGACCCCTTGCTGGTCTTCCAAAGGCCCCGGGTTCAATTCCCAGCACCCACATGGCAGCTTACAACTGTCTATAACTCCAGCTCCATGGATTCTGACACCTTCATACCAATGTGCAGAGATAGGAACTCTGGTGGGAGGGGCAAGTCTCTGTGATAAGGCTGGGCATGTTCAGAAGGGTGACACCCAGGCAGTAGCACAAGAACAACAGAAAGGACATGCCAGTGGAGTCACCTCACACTCTTGGACTACAAGTATACCCTCTGAAAGCTTGAAGTGCTGGTAGGGGAAAAATTAGGCCAGTCGCTGGGATAAAGGAAAGCCCAAGTGAGAGTATCAGCCGGGATCTCTGAGTTAAATTCCAGCAAAGTTAGATCTGGGATCAATTCCAAGGGATGAGCTTGGGGGACAAAATGAGAGGCAAGACACAAAAATGTATATATATATTAATTACATAACATATATATATATAATTGATTTAAAAACATAAGAGCAAAGATACAAAAAGGCCTCATATGAAGCCTGGGCTATCATAAGCCAGCCCTTGACTGTATGACTTGAGGAAGAACCACTTGATTTAAGGGCACAGACAGAAGGCAGAAACCACTGAACCCACACATGCATCCACGGGTCTCCTCATGTGAGGGTGCCGCTGGTAAGCTAGAAGCTGTGGAACCAGAAGGCCGGCTAATCCTGCGGTTTCTGGGAGAAGACATAAAACACTGCCCTCTGTCAATCAGATATCTGGCTGCTCTCTCATCTTCCCATCACTCAGTGGCTACCTGTTTCTCCTCTCTGCATCTGCCTCCTTTCCCCAACAGCCACCAACGGGCCTAGCCCTTCAGCTATAATTCCTAGATTCTAAGTGAAAATCCCATTGCCAACCCCTTGAGTCAAGAGCTGCCTGACCCCAGGAGCTATAACAGCAGACAGAAAGAGGGGAGAAGTATGGTAACGTGATTCACAGTGAGATGAACTATTGGCAAGCTAGCAGTGAAATCCAGTGGTCACTGTAGCCACAAAAAAAAAAAAACAGCTCCACCCGAGTCCAGCTTGGAGGCTCAATGAGTTCAATTGAAATTACTTACAAGAGCACGGGCGACTTACAGGCAAATACACCGCCAAAGAAACATGCTTTCTCCAGCAACTGTTATCCACTTCCATATCCTCCAGGAAGGACTGAGCCCCTCCTGAACCCTGTGAGTCCTCCTTCCGTTTCGTTCCGTAAGAGAATGTTAGGTGGGCCCAACCTTGCAAAAGTCACTTATGAGCAATCACAGCTGCTCTGCTCTGATTACAAAGTGGCAATGACCATGTCATGCCCAGAGGCCGGAGGGCCACACCAGACAACACTGATAATGAGAGCAAACAGCAATGGTAGAGTCAGACAGAGGCCACATACCATCCCGGGCACTTCAAGAATAGTAACTCACCATTACTAACAGTAAACTTTGTTACCATGCCTAACGTGTAATGTTCAGTCTCTGCCTCGTAGTTGGGGAAACTGGGTTTTGGAGCAATGCATTGACTTCCCTGGGCCACAGACATAACTAGTTTTTCAGACGTCTCCATGCGGAGACAGCCCTGGGTAAGCTGTTTAATTGCTCTCTAGTTTCCTCCCATGAGACTGCCGGGAAGATCTTCCCGCCAGTTACTCGGGGTATTTGGTTAGCAACTCTGCCACTAGAAAACCCCAGACTGCAAAACAGAAATTTATTGTCTCACAGTTCAAGAGGCTGGGAAGGTTACAATCAAGGTGCCAGCTCTTCCTGGTTCATAGGTGAGGATGTGGCACAAAGGCAGACACAGCCTGAAGCCCAACCCTGCGGTTTCACTTAAGCTTGATGATCCCCTGAAGAACATGACTCCAGATAGATAGTTACACTGACTGGATCGCTGCATAAGTCAGTCGAGTACCCAGCAACAGTCAGTCTTCCATAGACATCAGCCACCATCCGGGTGGCAACCATTGCCTGGAATCTAAGCTTCGTAAGCTTCATTGGACACTCACCACCCTCTGCCAATGAACAGTCAGAGCAGGAGGCCAGCCCATTCCCTGCACTGTGAGAGGCCTGTGCTTCTGCCCTTTCTCTCTGTCAACCCTCATCCCTCTCTCCCATGTCATCACACAGTCCTTTAGAGTGTCTGACCTTTTTTTCAATTCTATTGAAATTCCAAAGAGCTTAAGGGGGTTAGGAATTGGCAGTCCTACCCATAAATCCTGAAATAAATGGCATGACTTAGCGTACTATCTTGTGAGATGGAGGCTTCCTGTGTGAGAGTGGAATGGGCCACCTGACAGGGTCCATCAGTGGACATAGAGCTGGGACAGGCTGTACTCCAGCCCTGCTGGACCCTTCTTCCTTGAGGGACCACAGGCCCAGCACTGACACCCTTGAACCTTCAGATTCTTCTTCAGAAAACAGAGTGGGCAGTCTTGACTGCCCTGAGCCTGGAGCCTCACATTTATCTGTCCTAATCAAGCTGTCTTCCTCCCCACCCCAATTCCCCACCCCTTATACCCCACCCCCCAACCCCACTCTGCTCAATTGCTTCACTGAATCTTACTAGAGCCCAAGATAATAAAGCTTGAATCTTTGTCGACAGGCTATATAGCCCGTGAGATTTCAGCTACAAGATTCAAAGCATGAACTTTGCTGTTGGTGTGCCTTTAACTCCAAAGTTTACAAAGCCCTGAAATTGTTCCTGAGCTTCCCAAGGAGAACACAGGACTTCCTAGAAGCCACATGCCCAAGCCACGGTCTCTCAGGACCTCTGAAAACTCCAGGCTTCTCATTCCACCCTGGCAAACCCTCCCTCCTTCCTGCAGAACAGGACAGGGCTGGGCAGACCTCTTGCCCTTCCCCCAGCTGTTCTCCTGAGGCTAGGGCTGAGCTGGCAACCTTTTGCTGCACCAACCCTGGATACACCTGTCAAAACAGAACCACTGGAGAGTCGAGCAAGAGCTGAAAAACATGATCTGACCACACCGAACTTTCCATCAGGGCCAGGCTGCCAAGGGCTGGCTTTTCCCGAAAGCCTTTCCCCCACGGGTGACTGAGCAGCCTTTTGGGGACTACTTAACTATGCAAGCACAGGCTATTTGGTTTCCTAGCCTTCACCTGTCCACTCCTTTTGTTTTCTTTTAAACTTCCAAGTTCAAGAGCTGTGCTTGATGGGTCAGGAGACATTCAGAGGCGTATGTAATGCCTCCCAGCAGGGATCACCTACCATGGTGCAAACACCCAGAGCCCCATCAAAATGCACACTCTATGCTTGGACCCCAAACCCACTGATTCGGAACTGTGGAGATGGATGAGAAGTCGGAGTGGGAGGGAATGAGCGCTACAGACCAAGACCCGGGGGAATTTGACGCCTCATAAATTTAAGGTCCACAGGTGTAGGAGATAAAGGAAGGAACACACTGTCTTTATCTTGTTTCATCTTCATGAGCATGGGTCACTGGCGTGTTCTAGGTCAGAAAACAGAGGCTGGGAAATGGGGAGTAGAGTTAAGTGGGGGCTAGAGAGATGGCTCAGTGGTTAAGAGTGCATACTGTTCTCGAAGAAGGCATCCAGTTCCCGGCACCCATGTTGGGGGCGGACAACTGCCTGTAACTCCAGCTCCACGTGATCTGATGCCCTCTTCTGACCTCCATGGGCACCTATGTGTATGCATATGAGTCTATGTGGAAATATGTAATCATAGACACATATGCATACACATAATTTTAAAATAAGTAAGTAAATAAATTAGGTGGTTTTGAGAAGATGTCCAGTCAGGCGGATGGAGGTTTTACTGATATCTTGGTTTTACTGAGATATCGCTTCCAGAATGGTGGGTTCGGGAGGTCAGTGAGCTCTGTGTTTTGGAGGAATAAATCCACAGAAAGGGACTTCCTCTAGATCTCAGAGTATGCTAGTGACAAAGCTGTAACGAGGCCACAGATAAAGGACTGCCAGCATCCCCAATTTCAACTGCTTTGTACTAAATCCCAGGAGCAAGGGGCTTGCAGGAGCTGGACTCAGGAAGGGGCTTTCTACCATGAGAGCTGGAAGGCTTCTCAAAGGGAGTCATGTGCTCTCCTCCAGGAAAGCCACCACCCAACCTTGTTAAAATGCAGACTCAACTCCACCACTGAGAGAGTTGCACTAAACACTGGAACTTATTCTTATAGCGTTTCCTCAATCCCATGCCATCTTTTTAAAAGATCCGTTTGAACACCACAGACTGAAGCCATCTCTATTGCTTCTGATGGGAAACGGCAGAAGAATCTCCGTGGGATGGTTTTACTCAACACTTGTGACCTATGGCTCCTTCTCCAGAAGGAATTCCAGATCCTCGCCATTTCCCAGGACAAGCCTGTCCTAGCCCCAAGTGGTAAACTGCTACTCACTTGCTCCCCATTATCCATCACTGTCCTTACTCAAAGAACTCCCTTCTTCTAGACATAGAAACATTCCAGAGTTTAATAGGGAGGTGAGGACTCCAGGGAACATGTTCACACATTCATCCAATGGTCAGCTGCCAGCAGCTGCTGCTCCATACGCAGGAGGTACGTGAGAGACAAGCACCAGCTCCTCTTCAGCCTCTCACCCGAGGCTTCTTCCCAAACCTCTGTACAGAGAACAAGAGTCGCTAGGGACGGGGGGAGGTTCTCAATCTTCCTAACACTGAGACTTAAATACAGTTCCTTATGCTGTGGTGACCCCCCCACCAGAGAATTATTTTATTGTTACTTCATAACTGTATGACTATAATGTCAATATCTGATATGCATGACATCTGAGATGCAA